TCGCAGGGAGCGCGTCGGGGGGTCAGCGGGGGTCACTGGGGCTCAGTGGGGGTCACTGGGGCTGGCACTTGGGGTCACTGGAGATCACTGGGAGTCAGTGGGACTGGTACCGGGGATCACTGGAGGTCACTGGGGCTGGCACCAGGGGTCAGTGGGTGGTCATTGAGGTAACCAGGGGTCAGTGGGGGTCAGTGGGGCTGGCAGCGGGGTTCAGTGGGGGTCACTGGGGTAACCAGGGGTCACTGGGGCTGGCACTGGGGCTCAGTGGGAGTCACCGGGGTTGGCACCAGGGATCACTGCGGGTCAGTGGGGCCGGTACCAGGGGTCAGCAGGGGTCACTGGAGTCACCAGGGGACACTGGGAATCACCGGGATCAGCACCGGGGGTCAGTGAAGGTCACCAGGGCTGGCACCGGGGTTCAGTGGGGGTCACTGGGGTCATCAGGGGTCACTGGGGTCACCGGCAGCCGCCACAGCCTGGACCCCCCCAGGGCACGGAGCCCCCACTGCATCGGGAAGGGGGCACTGCTGAGGCCCAGGACAGAAGCCAAGCCCCATTCACCCCCATCTAACACTGCAGAATGAAATTTCGCTGGCATTTCGGGGGAGGGAGGGACACCCCCGGTGAGCATTAAGGAAGATTACACCCAGTTTGTTATTTCGGACCGTGAAAGTCCTTCCCCGGAGGATCTGCATCCCATTGAAATTGGATCATTCGGGGCGGGGGAAGCGCTCAAATTAATCCGTGTGTGTCCCCCCCGCCCCGGGAAGAGCCTCGCCAGCTGCCAGCTCTGCGCAAGCGGATTACGGCCTCTGGAGTGGATCTGGGCTTTCACCTGACGGCAAAAACCCTCCCAAAAAAGCCAATGTGGAGTTGGAGCCGTGTCCCAGTCCCCACCGTGGTGTCCCCCATTGATGGGACCCTTTCCACTCCCAAATCCTTTTGGATTTGGGGATCCTGGGGACAAAATGTGGCCCTGGCCCTCCTGAGCCCCCCATATTCCCCCCCAAAAGCAAAGGGGATGGGGACAGGTAGTGAGGAGGGGAAGGAGGATGGGACCCCGGCTGCTGTCCCAGGAGGAGGAGGAGGAAGGGGCTGAACTTACTCTTGATGGGCAACTTAGCTCCAAAAGAATTGATGCGACAAAAAATAAAACGAGAAATAAGAGAAGAAATGAAAGAAAAATAAAGCGGGCGTTAACAGAGAGGGCGGCTTTAAACGCAGCAGGGAAACGTAAACGCGATGGTGATGAGAGAAAGGTGGAATAAAGAGGAAATAAAGCCGAGAAGGGAAAAGATTTGGGGCTCATCCCAAAAGGAGAGGGTTGGGGGTTGGGTTAGTGAGGGATGTGCGCGCACAGGACGCGTCCCCTGCATAAAGGGACGAGGGGACTCGTCCCTGTCCCCACCCCAGCAGACCTCACGGGTGCCGTGGGTTTTCGGCGATGCAGACGGGCTCCTCGCCCCCCCCATTAACCCCCCATACCATGGGTGTC